CACTCATGAGGGTCTGCTCTCAAAACCTAATCACCTCCCAAAGGCCTTACCTTCTAATACTATTACCTTGGGGATCAAGTTTCAACACGTGAATTTTAGGGGACATAAACATTCAGTCTATAACAAACGGAATTGAGTTAAATGCAGTCCAGGCCACAGCTGGGTCCTAATTTGATAGTGGATTAAAAGATCACTCTGTAGTAACACTGTACAATGGAACTTTTTGCAATGAAGGAACTGTTCTATATCTGTATTGTTTAATGTGGCAGCCACTAGTCACATGTGGCTATTGGACACTTGAAATGTGGCCAGTGTGACTGAGAAACTAAATATCTAATTGTTTTTTATTTTGATTAACTTAAATTTAAATTTAAGTAGCCACAGCTTTAGAGTATTGGGTTTTTAACCAAATAAATTATTTCCGGTCCATGGATATAAAACCACTTCCTGAAACTCAGAGTCTTTGTTAAAGTCAAGGACCCAATCCTAGCAATCACAGAGAAGAGACTAAATTATATTACCTTCTAAATGGTTTATTGATACTGTGCATTCAGAGTTCCTCAAGCAAAATAAAGGATAGTCACTGAAACCCTGCTTGTCATAAAAGATGACCTAAAAGCCCATGTGTAAGAAGCAGGTTAAATAAACTAGGACACTGTGGTAGGCAGAATAACGTCCCCTGCAAAGATGTCCACATCCTAATCTTGGGAATCTGTGAATACCTTCCATGGCAAACAAGACATTTCAGATGGATCTTGATTAGGGATCTGGAGACGGGGAGACTGTTATCCTGGATGATCCAGGAGGGCCCAGTGTAATCACAAGGCAGGCGTGTAAGAGCCAGAGAGAATGAGATGTGATGACAGACACGAAAGTCACTGTGATTGATAGGATTGCTGAATGGGGGCCGTGAGCCAAGGAATACAGCCTCTAGATGCTGGAAAAGGCAAGAAAATGGATTCTGCTCTGGAGCCTTCAAAAAGAATGCATTCCTGAGGACACTTCGATTTCCACCCAGTGAGACCAATTTTGGACTTCTCACCTCCAGAACTGTAAGATAATAAATAGGTATTGTTTTAAGCCACAATATTTGTGATGATATGTTATGGAAACAATAGGAAACTAATACAAGTACTTCTACATATAGTGGAATACTATGCAGCCATTTAACAGAATGAGGAGCACCTACACATTTTCATATGGGAAGATCCCCATGATATATTATTAAATGAAACGCATCAAAGTCTCCGACAATGTGAGCATCATGCTACCCCTTGGTTACAAGGGACATACACATGGACCCGTATATATCTAGAAGGCAAAGCAAAAAGTGAGAAATAGTGATTGCCTCTGGGAAGGGACACACTGGGGAGGGAGTGGGCAGAGTTGGAAGCAGAACTTCCCTTTCACGATGTACTTCTCAGAACTGTAACACATTTTGAGAATTGTCACTAGATGGAAAAATCCATTTCCACACCAAATTCTTTAGGGAAGAAGATAAACCATACTAAGCCCTATTGGCATTTTGCAGGTGTGTTGCTCTAAACTTCAGGGAAGAGTAGATAAATAACATTCCCTGACATAAGCAATTAGCTGCTGGGTGTGAGAACGGCTCATCTCTGGTTCAGAGCAGCCAGAATTGAAGTTCAGATGGAAGCTGAGAGAGAGAGAGAGAGAGAGAGAGAGAGAGAGAGAGAGAGAGAGAAACCCAAGGTCATTGTGGAAAAAGTAGACACTAACTCCACATTTGAGATCAAACCATTCAGAAAAAGATATGGTGCTTCTTTCCCAGAAGTATGTGAAGAAGAAATGTTAGAAGGAGATTTTTGTTTTGTGAGCTAGAAACCTAGAACAGGAGATTTAAGAAGGTGGTGAGGCTATCGCTAGCTAATTATGAAGTGTGAACTGGAGAAGAAATGAAAGTATGCAGCCACCCCTGCAAACTGGTGCAGTTATCACCCAAGGCAGCTAGCTGTCCCTGCAGGCCTCACTCTTAGCAGGGACTGTACCCCTCTCTCTGCAGTGAGGTATCTCCCCCAACCAGGATTTCACCTGGGACCTTGGGGGACCCTGGCTAATGTGGCCCCAGGAGGGAGGAGGAACTTAATTGTAAGCGAATGATAGGAGTTAGCACTGGGAAAAAGTGAAGGAATGTATTTTCAGTATAGGTTTGAGGTATAGGGAAACAACTTGTGAAATCCAGTATCAATTTGGGAAATAGGGATGATGACCCCCAACCCATGAGATCTAGGGCTTCTGAAAGCAAAGGAGAAAAGAAGAGAAACCCCCAGGTCCTCAAAAGCACAGTTGCTTAACATTTGAATCACTGCTAAACCTCAGTTTGTCTATCTGTGAGATGGGAATAAATGGTACCTACATCTGTGGGAGGGTAAACGAAGCTTCCTGTGCTTGATAAGCATTCTGGCACTTGCTGTATTCTTAGGGTTTGCAGGCGCTTGGAGTTCACTATCGCACTTGCTGTGGGCTTCTCCCTGTGTTTTAATACCATTAGCTCCTTTACCCTCCATGATGGCCCTGTAACGTAGGCTGCTTCTTTTCCCCATTTTACAAATGGAGAAACTGAGGCACAGAGCCCTCAAACAGCTTGCCATGATTATCTAGGAATTCAGTAGCAGAAGCATGGCTTGACCCTTGGCAATTTGGCATTACAGGTTGTATGTTTAACCACTAAGCCATACACGTCTTGTAGTAAACGGGGAAAAAATGGTAGTTGTGGCTATGGTGATAATGAGTGCAATGTAAAGGTACCATTATTTATCCCCATCACACGGATAAATAAAATGAGGCTTAGAAGGATTAAGTGATTCAAGTGTTAAGTAACTATGCTTTTGTGACCTACCTGTGGGGCTCGGGTCCCCATCAGAGGGATCCAGATAAATGCCACTAGGCCTGCTCCAGTGACAGCTCCTGGGTGGCTGGTGGGAGCCAGAAAAAGGGGGCCCCTTTAACACATTTGGAGATGACTGATCTAGGGGCAGCCTGATGTGTCCTGTGCTGCTGGGACTCTTCACTCATGTTCCCAGGGTAGAGGAGGCCTCAGTGGTCTTAGTGTGGCTCTGGAGCAGGGCTCCAAGCGGAGCCACATTATGATAACACATGCAAGAATCCCAGGATGCTCCAGGTGGGGCTGCCAGGGACAGACATTGACACTTGCAGGCATGGAAGCCAGTATAGGGCACCCAGAAATTCCCTGTCTTGTTTGGACCAGGAGGAGATTCAGCCTGAGCAACATAGTGAGACCCCATGTTTACAAAAAATTAGCTGGGTATGGTGGCTTGTGCTTGTAGTCGCAGCTACTCAGGTGGCTGAGGTGGGAGATCACTTCATTCGAGGAGGTCGAGGTTGCAGTGAGCCATGCATGATCACCATGTCACTCCAGACTGGGTGACAGAGCAAGACCCTGTCCCAGAAAAAAAAAAGAAAAAAAAAGAAAGAGAAGGAGGAGATTGTAGGAGTCAGGACACAGAATATGAACTTCAGTCCTCATTAGCACCACTAGCATGGTGGTCTCGGGAAACACCTGCTCTTTGTTCCCATGGAAGTCTATAACACACTCAAACAGCGCTTTGAGTTAAATGTATTTTGAAAAGTTGGCTCCAGCTCAGCTTAAGAAACCACAGGAGAGTGAAAAGTTTATAAGCTACACCATTACTAAAATGACTCTGGTATTAAGGGATATAGCTCAGATTATTAATTTAATAACTGGCAGAGCAAAAAAAAAAAAATGTTCTTCATTTTGGAAATGGTCTCATTCGCTTACCAAGCAGGTAGATCAGACCTGCTTAGGTTTAAACTCATTTCTTCTTTCTTTTTTGGTTTCCCCGCACCCCCGCTTTAATCTTCAGCTTGCTTCAGTTTTCTGTATCTATAAATTGCTTTTGGGAAGCTGTACTTAACAAAATGTTTCAGAACGCAGTTGACCTATTTTAGTTCCTACATTTTCTTTTGGTAAACACTTTCTTTTACTAATAAAATGATATGGTCGGGTATGGTGGCTCACGTCTATATTCCCAGCACTTTGGGAGGCCGAGGCGGGTGGACGACCTAAGGTCAGGAGTTCAAGACCAGCCTGGCCAACATGATGAAACCCCATCTCTACTAAAAATACAAAAATCAGCCAAGCATGGTGGCACACTCCTATAATCCCAGCTACTCAGGAGGCTGAGGCACGAGAATCACTTGAACCAAGGAGGTGGAGGCTGTGGTGAGCTGAGATTGCACCACTGCACTCCAGCCTAGGCCACAGAGTGGAACTCTTATCTCAATAAAATAAAATAATGATTTGGGGAAAAAAAATTTTGAAAAGGGGGAAATGGAGTGGGAGATAGAAATGGAGTGGGAGTGATATCTGCCACAGTGAGCATTTTTGCTGTTCCTTTCACAACCACAGTGACCTTTCCACTGGTGATGGTGTTGAAGTGGGTGAAAAGGGATGGATAATTATCCCTAGTCTGAGGGCAGGTAAAAAAGGCAGGTAAGTGAGAAAGTGCCTATGGGCTGATGACAGATCCAAAAGATCTTGACACTGAGATTCGGGGGCTTGATTAACTCAACAGGCAGGCCTGCAAATCTCCAGTGCAAAAGAAGGAGGAAGTTTCACATTTGTTGCAACACATTGTCATGGATCTCTCCTTCCTGCTACGACAACAGGCAGGGAGCTCTGCTAAGATGACCTTTAGTCCTCAACTTTTGATTCTACCCTGTGGACTTCCAGATGCTACCTTAGAGTAGAAGGACCTGCCCTGCCACCCAGCCCCTGGTTCCACAGTGGATAATTTGGCTTGGCAGAGCCTTTAAAGCTTAGTCTTTCATGACCCAGGTCAGGGAGCCTCAGTGAGTTGTATACATTTCTGTTGTACAGGCTTCTGTTCCAAGTCAATTGTAAAATGCTGAACAAATCAAATGGGGGATTACATTGAATGAATATTTAGAATACCAGAATTTCATTCAACTATGAGTAATAGAAACCTGAGAAGCAGTGGTTTAAATCAATAGGAATTTATTATTCTCTCACAGAATGAGAATTCCAGAAGTAGGCAGTGCAGGGCTGATAGGGCAGTTCCAGTTCATCGTCCTAGTGTGGTCCACATTCTCACATTCATAAGACAGCTACTGTCGCTGCGGCTGTCTCGCTGTGCTCTTGGAAACAGAAGGGAAGATGGGCCAAGTGAAAACAATGCCCAGCAGTTGAGTCAGTATGTGTTTTATTCTCACCCTGTTACTAAGGAGCAAGGTGGAAATAGATACTGGCTAGGTACCTAGAAGTCTCTGCTACAAGATATCTCTGAATGGACGAAAATGTGAATTGCTGAAAGTGCCAACTGTAACATGGTAGGAACAAGTTCACAGAAAAATTCAGAAATTCCTGAGCTCTGTTCATTAGTTCCCAAAGGCTAGCAGGTAATACTGACTGATAATAACCCCACGAATCTAGCATTTATGACAAGCCTACCCAATAGACAGTAAAGACATTGCCACTGGAAACATGGAATCCAATTCATGAGGCTGCCAGCCCCTACTCCAAAAATGGAACCCATGAAAGGCAACATAGGAATATGGTAGGTACTATTTGAGTGAGCATGCATAGTTTTGCCAGTTTGCATGTTTTGCTTTCTAGGAGACATATATATTTAAATGAAAATATTAAGTCAATTAAGTTTATATCAACTCTCTCCGCCGTCTTCAAGTAAATCTTTCATGCTTAACAAGCTGGTGTCACTAGTTACCTAAGTCCAAAAGGATGAATTTTTTAGATAACCGAGGAATTATTTCAAGCAAAAATTAATAAAAAATTAACCAGCAGTAGCGGAAATAATACTAAACATTACTGCTTGTTTCATCAACATATATTGAATAATTTAACATATGGAAAGTTGTTTTGTTTATAACTGACACACGATTGTACACATCGATGGGGTACAGTGTGATATTTTGATACATGTAAATATTGTGTAAAAATCAAATCAAAGTATTTAGCATACCCATCACCTCATGGATTTATCCTTTCTTTGTAGTGAGAACATTCAAAATCCTTTCCTCTAGTTGTGTTGAGACATACAATATAATATGTTAGCCAGAATCACTGTGTAATAGAATGCCAGAACTTATTCCTCCTATCTCACTATAACTTTGTACCCACTGACCAGTCTTTCCCCTTCTCACCCTCCCCTTTCTCCTCCCCAGCCTCTGCATCTGTGAGCTCAACTTCTTTAAGGTGCACCTGAGTGAGATCATGACATATTTGCCTTTCTGTGCCTGGCTTATTTCACTTAGCATAATGTCTTCTGGATTCATCCATGTTGCTGCAAATGACAAGATTTCATTCCTTCCTTATAGCTGAATAGTATTCCATTGTTTATAAATAACACATTCTCTCTCTCTGCTCTGTCTCTTTCTTTCTTTCCTCAGATGATAGCAGTAAAAATAACATACTTTCTTTACTCCTTCATTCCTTGATGATACTTATGAAAAATGCTCAACATGAGTAATCATTGGGGAAATGCAAATCAGACCACAGTGAGATATAACTTTACCCCAATTAGAATGGCTATTAGCAAAAAGAGAAAATAACAAATGCTGGCAAACATGTGAAGGGGAACTCTTACACACTGTTGGTGGAAATGCAAATTAGTACAGCCATTACGAAAAACAGTATGGAGGTTCCTCAAAAAATTCAAAATAGAACTACCATATGATCTAGCAATCTCACTACTGGATATATATTCAAAGGAAATGAAATCAGCATGTCAAAGAGATATGTGCTCTCTCACGTTTATTGCAGCACTATTTGCAATACCCAAGATCTGGAATCAACCTAAGTGTAATAAAATGTTTTTGACTGGCTGCTACTTGTGCAGAAAATAACCTTCCTTACCATTACCCACACCTTCACCATCTGCCTCCCACACACACATACACTCCTTACCCTTCCCTCTCCCCACATGACTGCTATATCAGGAAGGAAAATTTTGTTTGATGGAGGTGCTAAGATATTCCTATTTCATGGAGAATAGGTTAGAGCCAGCAGGTACTCAGGCATTTGCATTACACTTGCATTAAAAAAAAAGTCTTAATTAAGAGAATTGAAATGTATTTAGCCTGTAGACAACGTAAAAGTAAAAGGCTCTGGGAACTCTGAACCACTGATGGCGCGTATGTAAATTGCTAAGCTGACTCTGGAAAATGGTTTGGCAGAATCTATGAAAAATGAACATAGGCTCGGACTACACTCATGGCCATCAACTTAGTGACACAGCTTCATCCTCAGCCCCACTCTAATGCTAGGACCCATTTCAGCCTCCCTTCCGCTGTGATAGCTCAGGTCTCGGGCCTGCAGTGTTCGCTCCATCAGCTGGTCAAAGGTGGTCTAACCTTAGCCCATCAGAGGCACGTTCACTGCTGTGAACCACAGCAAGAAAGATTAGGAGATGGGAAGCTTCCTCTCAGTAAGCTCCCTGAACACTATGTAAACTTTCCCACCCCTTGTCCAGAAACCTTCGAGCTCTACACCACATAGGACGATGACTTCACTGTCACTATCTAGCACTCTAAAGCCCAACACAAACTGGTTTATACAATAAAGATGAATCACTGGATCATGTAACAGCAAAGACCAATGTGGGCTTCAGGCACAGTTCTATCAGAATTCCAGTTTAGTTTCTCAAAGATCTCTTAATTCCACATTCTGCTAAATTGGCTTTGTCCTCAGGCAGAAGACCCTCCTGGTCTTAAGATGTTTTCCAGAATCAACTGGGCTAAGTGCTTCCTTCTCAAATGATAAGAGACCAGGCAGAGGCTTATCTGGATTTCTATCCAGATAACCAGTGGATAAAAGCACTGAACTTAATTGTGCTGGGACTTTCTGGTCATATGCCCACTTCCCAAACCAATCATTTTGGCAGCAAGATTCCAGCTGCCTGCAGTGCTGAAGCTGCAAGCCCTAGTCAAGCAAACCAAAACCAAAACCAAAACTAAAATAATACCTGTTGCACTCCCCCCAGAATAGTAAGTACCCCACTATGTCTACAACACTAAAAAGGATCCATTCAAATGACTCATCTCAAAATAAAGTAGGTATGCTCCAAAGTGATTTCACATCCTCATGATGTCTCTGAAATAGCAATGGTTGGCAATTTAAAGTTTCCTTCCTATAACTTAAAGTTCTACCTCATTGCTGTATCGGACTGTAACACCCACCCGCTTCTCCAAATAATCTAAGAAATTTGGTTAGATGACCACATGCCATAGCATTTGTAGCACTGGATTCAGAGATAACAATCGTAACTCATCTTTGATTAGCATTTTATAGTTTCCAGTGTGTTTTCACATGCAGCATTTCATTTCATTACCGGAAGCTGGGTAGAATCTGTACTGTTAGATCCAGTTTGTAGGTAAAGGAAGTCTCAGAGAGATTGAGTGACTTCCCCAAGGTTAATGATCTATAAGTGAAAAAAAAAGTTGGCATTAGGATCTAGGTCTTTCAATGCTGAACTTTTGTGAAGACCTTTCCTCTAATCAGCCTTTTGGACCAGGGTATAGAATAAGAAGATAAGATGCAAATGAGATTATGGTTCAGAAGAATAAGAGACCAAGTAGGGATTATCTGAAGGGAGGATTCCTCTGCTGCAGGACTGTGGTACACAGGAGAGAGAAGACAGAAAAAGATACTCTCAACCTTTGCTTCTGCCCTTTGTTTGTTTCCTTGCCCAATTTCTTTTTTCCTGTTTCTTTCTTGACTTCTCTTCTCTGCTACAATTTTCTCAAACACAATACCCAACACTCTCCATGCCTAGGCCCCATTCAAGAATCAATCCTGAAAAGGCATCATATTTTCAGGGGGTGGGGACAGGCAGGGAAAGGCAGCAGGGGAGGAACACTGGATTGGGGAAGAGGAAAGTGAGAATGGGAATGGTGAAAGACAGAGAAAGAAACTGGAATCATGAGTTGGCTCTAACCCTGAAGACTGTGATCTAAAATGTTTGATTACTATTTACATTTTTAAAGAGAATATCTTGCAAGCGATGTGACTTTGAGCTGCAGACATAAGAGAGGGGATACTCAAAGACTGGGCAGCCCAAACCTACCAACTGAAGGGTTTTGTTTATGATTTTATAGATAAAGATTGGTCAGGTGCGGCCCGGCGTGGTGGCTCACGCCTGTAATCCCAGCACTTAGGGAGGCCAAGGCAGGTGGATCACAAGGTCAAGAGATTGAGACCATCTTGGCCAATATGGTGAAACCTGTCTCTACTAAAAATATGAAAATTAGCTGGGTGTGGTGGTGTGCACCTGTAATCCCAGCTACTTGGGAGGCTGAGGCAGGAGAATTGCTGGAACCTGCAAGGTGGAGGTTGCGGTGAGCCAGTATCATACCACTGCACTCCAGCCTGGTGACAGAGCGAGACTCCATCTCAAAAAAAAAAAAAAAAAAAAAGGCTGGTCAGATGCTATAAAAAATTATCTTTTATAGCAGATGCTTTTCATAAATTTAGAGTACTTACACACTGAGCTTGTTGAAAATTTTCTCATGACTTTGATCTGCACTGGGGAATATGGAAAGATGTTGAGAACCAAGAAGTGTTAACAACCAGGAAGACAGTCCTTATCAACTATTTATTTCCTCTGATATGACCATTTACCTAGGCAGCTCAGATATTATCTTCAAGATCTGTTTAATGTGGAAAGAATCCTCCTTGAATTATTTCCAACAAGAATTAGATTACATCTAATCTCACAGTGATGAGAAATAATTAATCCAGATATTCTTGGGCTGTTGCGGCAATAAGAGTAATCTAATTTTTGCATTGTGTCATGGAAGGAAAAATAAAGGTTGCAAACTGGAAGCTTCATGGGCCAACTGTGGGCTGCAGGTGGAATCTGTTTGCTTTCCAGTGTTTTAAGAGAACAGTTCTCTCCGGGTCTCCATTGCCCCATCAATCACACAATACAAAGGTGCATTCACACACCTCTTCTCTCATTGCATCCCCTGTCTGACCCTAAGGCTTCTGAGTTTGAGGCCTTGAAATAAGAAAAGTCATTATATATATATATATATATGGCCCGGCGTGGTGGCTTATATATATATATGGCAATACAGGGAAGAAAGGATCATTTATCTTGGCAAACACATAATGGGATGAA